GACCACTGCAATGCTGCTCCTTCTCTTCACTCTTATCCCCCACACATCTGTATCTCCGCGTGCGTGTGTGCAACTACGCAAAGGTATCACCCACTCGCGGTGAAAATGGCACTGCCGCGTTGCGGCGGCATTTTGTGCCGCAGTCCGCCGAGGCGAAAAGGGGCAAAACACCCCCACAGTCAGCGCCCTGCACCCGCAAGGAAAATAAGAGAGTGAGCCATAGTGCACTTTCCTCCCTCTTGCCTTCTCCTTCTGCCTATTCTTTTCCTTCACAGCCGCGGAAGGAGGCAGCAGAGGCCAGCAGACGGAACCGCCAGCACCGACTACAAAAGCAACATCCACGTGCACGGCAATAGACGTGTCTGTATCGTGTAGGTGGGGATATGCCTACCTACAGACACGCAGCGAAACGGCAAGGACAAAACACGCGGAGATGCACACACAAACACACACAGCAGCGGCGACGCAGGATGGAAAAAGAAGGAGGCGGAAGACAACTGAGAGCCGAGGCGGCACCGCAGCCCACGCAGCGGCAAGCCACGGGAAGTGTGCCCAATAAGAAAAAAAAAAATATATATATATAACTATGCCTCTCTGGCCGAGGTCATATCGTTCCTATTCCTAAAAGAGAGAGAAGGCCCCACAGTGGGGGAATTACAGATTGGCCCGCTGCGCACCAACGTCCCCCACTAAAAAAAACGAGGCTGCACCCACGCCCGCGCAGTCACACAACTCATGGGCCCAAAATACACACGGCCGTGATGTCCGGGCTCCCGTTGGGGATTCACCGAGTGGCGGTCTGCGGGGCCCGCCGCCAACAGACGCCCTTCCGCGTGGAGGGCGCCCGTCGCAGCGGCAGCAGCGGGGGGTTGGGGTGGGAAGAAGAATAAAAATAATAATGAAACAAAAACTACAACACTTGCGCCGCTCTCCAGCGCGGCATCGTGGGAAACAAAAGAAAAAAGAACAAAAGGCCATCGGCAAAGGAACAGGGGAGCTGCAGAAAACTATCCCTCATCTGTTTGGCCCCGCCTGGGGGCACGTGCCTCCCGCGAGCTTCTGTCTGCGAATTCCCCCGCCCACAACGCCCCCACTCTGCTCACTGCGTCAACCGCAGTCATGTCAAGTGTGCGGCGCCCAATGATGACGGGGAAACACACATAAAACAAAAAAAAATACTTGTCTTTCCCCTCACGCACAGCCATGCCGCTCCCCTTGCATCCGCCCAAGAAGGGCAGAAACGCACTGAACGGATGGCTTGAAACACGAGGAGCCCATGCCCCCGCAACTCGGCGCACAGTCACGGCGGCCGGCTAACCGCACGCCCCACAACCCCGCCGCCTACACGAGGCGGCGTTTATTTGCAGCAACCAGCAGCTGGGCAACCTCCGCGTCAAGTTGCACCTGGTACTGCTCCACCTTTCTCTCCCAGAAGTTCTCTGGAGCCTGAGGATCCGACGAACGTTGTCCCGTGAAAGTGCATCGCTGCCTTGTCGTCATCGGCATGCTCTCAGCGTGCCGGATGTAAATAATCTCCCACCCCATCGCTTCCTTCAGCACCTCCCAGTTATTGAAGTTGCTCCTCATGTATTCCATAAATAAAGCCATCTTACTGGCGGTGGTGTCGTGAGTATCTTGCATTGTCACCTGCAGCCCGACCAACGTCATCTTCTTCCCCGCACTGCTCTGGTCGCCGGTGGGGGTGTCGCGGGCCCGCCCGGGCTCCGCTGGAGGCGCCTCTGGCTGCACCTCGGCCACGTAAAACGCGTCCAGCACGGGGAAAAGGCGTGTGTCGGGGATATACAGAACACCGGGTTCAAGGTCAACCTTCTGTATTTCCGCTTCGTGAGGCCCTCTCTTCGTGTACTCGAACAAGAAGGAACACCTTGGAAAGCGGCCTCGTGCATGTTCCTCCGCCAGCACGCTGGCCCGCGGCTCTCCCCCCGCAGTGCGGGGAATGTACTTCGTCTTGCGGGCAACCGCCTCGGCGACGCCGCCGATCAAAAACGCCAAGCAGCCCAAGCGCTCGAGATGGGCAGCGGCATTTAAACAGCACGTTCCCAGTGCGGACAGCAAAGCTGACATCTGAAAGTTCTCCTTCAGCACGAGCCTCCGTAATCTTGCCTCGATCTCAATTGCAACAGGAACATTTCTGGAGCTTTCCGACACCCTCCTCCCTGCCGCCGCCGCCGCCGCTGCCGCCGCCAACACCACCGCTCTGTTGTTGCCGCCCACCCACAGCACACGCACAAGCTTGATCAGTTTGTGCGTGGCCCCGTCATCGCTCCACTCAACCTTGGCAAATAAAAGCTTCGCGAAGCGCTTCCAGGCTGCGTCGGACCTACAGGACAGCGCAGCCTCAATTGCCTCCCACCGTGCCTTAAAGGCCCCGTCATCGAAAACATAGCGTGGGAGCGGTCCAACCTGAACAATGCGTTGCTTCACCGTCCTCCACCCTTCCTCAGGCGTCGTGTTTGTTTGCTCCTCGTTTAAGTGCGAGTTGCGCCTCTGCCACGCATAGAACGCCTTCATCTCTCGTGGAGTGTAGCAGTTGATAAATATGTAAAGTGCACTCCGTTGTTTCTTCCACTCCTCATAGTTGCTTTTATCAGGCGACGTCAACACAATTCCACCCCAATACCCATAAGGTAGCGCAATCGGAGGATGAAGTCCCTTAGTCACATCAAAAATGTAGTAGCCCGCAACTTGTTTTTATCCAACGCCTGGATAGCCCACAGACCGTGAAGAGGGGGTTTATATTC